GCAAATATTAAAGCTGCATTTACATTTCAGCTGTGCCTGACACTGAGCCACAAACTTTCACGTTTAAGACATTTATGTTGATAATGTAGAACACATTTGCTTCTTGCTCTAGTCTCTATGTTGCCTTCTCCCCCAACTTCAATGTTGCAATCCTAACCTTCAAAGCAATACAATTAGGAAGTAAGAACTTTTGGGAGCGCTGTCATGGGAATGGAATTACCATCTTTTTGAAAAAGTCTTTATTGGTACATTTTAGGTATACAATATGTTTACATCTATCATTGGGTGCTTGTACCTGTACATGATGAATATTGGTTATTATTTTTTTCCCCATTACCTGTGCACCCTTCACCCCCTCTACCCTTCCCTGTTTACATAGATTTCATTTCCATTTTTTTTCTTTTCTCATAATTTTTCCTTTTCCTTCTTTCCTTTCCCCTTTCCCTCCCACCATCCCTACCATGTTTATAGCCCACAGGAGATACTTTTTCGTTGTTATCATGTGAGAACACAGTAATAAGATAGCATTCTATGAGCTGGGAAATGGGTCCTTACCAGACATGGAGTCAGCCAGAGTTTTAATCTTGGACTTCCTAGCTTCTAGAAATAGAGCTATGAGAAACAAATGTCTGTTTTATAAGCTATTCAGTTTATGATATTTTCTTTTAGCAGTCCAACATTACTAATTTCTTTACTTGGAGGTTAACCATAATGAATCCTTCCCAAACTTTTCTTCTCTGAGATTTGAGATTAAATAGGAAGGGGGGAAAGATTGGGATTTATCCATAAACCAGAATGTGTAGAGAGCCAAAGACCATACACATAAAATTAATTCGGTGTGCATTTGATATGCTCATTCCAGCTCTTCCCCTTTCATCTGTGAGCTCAGGGACTCAGAAATCTGCATTCTAAAAAGTGCCTCAATTAATTCTGACATAGCTACAGTGCAAAGTCTTTAAAGGAAGACATAAATCTTCAAGTAATGTTTTTAGAAAGAAGGAGGCATTTAAACCCATGCATTTCCTTATGAATCGTTATGGTATGTGAAAAAAAATCTTAATAGCCTATTGGGGGAAAGTCTCCTAGGCAAAGGAAATACAGTTGAAACCTGATTGCATGCATTGGACTTTTCATTTATAAAGTAATACAGCACTAACCTCATGCCTCATTCACAAATACTCTGAATATTTCCCCCTTAAATCTTGAAACCAAAAACAGAATCTTGGTTATGTTAGACATAAAAAAATTCAACAAGTGGAGTAAAATACTGCAAATATTATAAATCAGTTTAATTTAATAAATAGTTACAATGTGTGTTTTTCCCAAATGATAGTGGCATTAAAAGTTTAAGGTATCCTGAGTGTTCCTACATTATGCTTTTGTCTGCTGTATAGTGATACATACTTCCTATATCTTTGTCTTACTTTATTTTACTAAGTTTTATAAAGTTAATACATGCTCATTTAAAAATCCAGATTTGGCTGAAATGTGCTGAAAGTTCTATATCATCAAATTCACAATTCCATAAGTTATAACTGCTAAAAATTAAAAATGTGCCAATGAAGTATTTCTATTAATTATATAATATGTACATTATACTTTTCTTTATGTTGTCAAAATTCTGTTTACTTATAAAGCTATCAGATAAAAAGCGAAAGGTTGCCATTCACAGATAGATGTCGTTCCATTTCACCGCCAGTTGTCACTGTCACTATGCATCTTTTCTCTCCAGTCCCTTGAGGTGCTGAATCATTGTAGTGACATCTATCTAAATCTATGAACTTACACTAATTCTGTAAAAAAAAGTGAGATCTTCTGAAGTGTTATATAATTAATCATCCAGCTGTTCACTTGGCAAGGAATCATAATTAAGGAATGTATTAGTCTGCCAGAGGCACCCAGGAAATAGAATCAAAAGTATGAGATCTGATTAGACAGCATGTTGCTGTGGATTAGAATTGGATGTCTGTAGACCGAATTCTCAACCCTGGGTGCACATTTCCCTGATATGTAGAGCTTATAAACACGTGCACACATGTATACCTACTCATGTGCATGTATACACACCTATACCCAGGGTCTGAGCACTGGGAAGTTTTTATGTGCAGTCTGAGATTGAGAAACAGTGCTCCACATCAACTGACCATTCTGAAAGAACAATGAGAATAAATGGACATCCAATTTTCAGGTGGATGTTCTGAATTTCTAAAAAATGGAGTCGATGGTGCTGTAGAGATGGAATGGGAATGGGGGTTGAGCAGTGCAGTATAGAACACATGTAATCTTTCTTACCAAACCCTCAATTAGTAATATTGACCCATGGAACAAAATGGAACTTTTTGGAAAGGTCTGATTATTAGAGTTTAGAAACTTGTGGGATTAAACAATGTTCCCTGTTTATGTTCTGTGAAACAGTCTAGGAATGTGCTCTGTAAAACAACAGTAACCCCCCAAAAATCAACATCAATGATTAAAAAATGGGGGAGAAGATATTTCTGTGACCAAATTTGAGATATGTTGGGTAACTCTCTTTGTCTTAGTGATACAGTGTACATTCACATAAGAATGTCCTCTGAGAGGTTATGTATTTGAGAAACTTGTTGAAACTTATTTTTTTAGCCCAGTCTTTTCCAAACATAAGCATTCAACAAGTATCAATTATTGAGAACCACCTTGGGCCAGGGAGTGTTTTTAGTATTTTAGAAGGAAGGCAGTAAAGGTTCCTACTTTAGTGACACCTGCCTTCTAGTAGGATACTGTGAAGAAACCTATAAGTAATCAAACAAGACCCACTCCCAAAATAATGAAAAATATAAAGAAGATAAAATAGGAAGATTTTATGTGCAGGTGCCAGGTGCACTATTTTAGAAACTATGAGAAAGGGCCTCTTGGATGGTAAATATTTTATCTAAGACTTGAAATGACAGAAGGAGATGATTGTGAAACTATCTGATGAAGAATTTTCAGAGTAAAGTCAACTCCTGGTGCAAAGCCTTTAATGGAGCTCATTGTGGCTTGTTCAGAGAGAGCAATGTGGTTAACCACAGTGGACAAGGTTATGTTTAGGTGAGGAATTTGGATTTTGCTCAAGAGGTGAAGCATGCAGTGGAATGACAAAGCTTAATTTACTTCTGTATATCTTCCTGGCTGTTCCTAGGGGAAGAGCTGCTGGGAAACAGAAGAATAAACACAATCAAGAAGAGTATTGAGGTAGTTCTTGAGAAACCACTTTGTGGAACATGGTGGATATAGGTGAGATGAAGAGTGTTCTGGCTTATAGCTAGATGCCTTCCCAAAGCCTCATGGGCTTATAGGTGGGGCTTTGGGAGGTGATTGGACCATAGGTGTGTGGTACTGGATTGGTCCACTGATGGGTTTATAGCTGTGTGTGATGGTGGGAGGTGAATCCTAGTGGGAAAAAGTGAGTCATTATGGGTGTAGCCTGGAAGGACCCTCTTCTTTTGATGGCTTGCTCCTCCCTGCCTACTATGCCATGAGCTCTTTCTCCTCTGTCATGCTTTTCTGCTCTGCCTTGGAGCCAACCAGCTGTGGAGTGAAAATAAATGTGAGCCAAAAAAACCTTTTCTCCTTCTAGTTGTGGATGTCGGTCATTGTGTCTCAGCAATGAGAAAGTAATTAAGACAAAGAGAGATGCCCATATTTTGGATATAATTTGGAAGTGCCATCGCAGATATGCTTTAAACCCTAAAATTGAGTGTATGAGGGAGTGGGAGGTGTGGAGAATTAATTATTCAGGGGAATCAAATTGAGTTGATTATGAAACACTCAACTTTTGCTTTGAATGTATTAGAAAATATTTTAGGTAGATGCTAGTAATGGGATATTTGCCAAATAGAAAGAAAAGCACACACAGGAAGCAGAGTCCCTTTAGGGCTCCTAAAGTGCTTGTCTGTGCCCATCTACCTGAGGTTGCCTTAATGATCTGGTCACGATAAAGGGAGGTACCATGAGCCTGCATATGTGCATGCTCCTCACATTGTTTCTATATATGCTTATTTCACAGTTAAAGAAAGTGGAAAATGAAGAAGAGGAATAGGAAGAAATAGAGGAGGGTGAAGGGGAGGAATAAAAATGAAATATAAATTATTGAAAACTACTGCTTCTTGCTGACTTCTACATGCCTGGAGTGTGTCATGCAGGAGAAAATAAAAGTGGCTTAGATGTTGAGTGCTGTAGCTTGTAGGGTTTGCAGGTGAGCTATGTGTGAGGTAACACCTTCTGATATTGTGGAAAGCACTCAGCTCCTGCTCTTTCTGTATAATGGTTTTGCAAATACCAGAGGTTTTCTTCACCTTTCTGGCCTTTTATTTCCTCATCTGTAATTTGGCTATGCTATCTCAGCATCATTCTGAAGGTCTCTCTAGCTTTTGAATTTTGGAATCTGTAAGTCTAATTACAGGACTTTTCAAATTCTTATTGTTTCCAGTTTCCCTAAACAATTTGAATAATGTATTGGACAATGAACTGATGAAGCTTAGGAATCTGTTATCATAGTATAGTTCCTACTTGAATATTGGGGATGCTTTTGTTTATGAGTACATGAGACAGTGATACAGCTGGAATGTGTCATAACTTCACTCACTCATCAACGATGTCAGCAACTTCTTGGCTGAATTGTACAACAGTTTTCCAATATTTTCTCAAATTTTTATGCTATCACAATAGCAGGCACAGACATGATGAACTTTTATGTTTAATCTGCATTTTACAAAAGGAATCATTTTGAGGGTATCATGTATAGTCAAAAGCTCTTTTAATGGGTATAGTGGAATTTGAACTACTCTTTATAAAAAGTAGAGGCAATAGTAACTTCTATGGATAGACATTATGACAGAACTTTTAATAAGATTTTGTTAAAGAAGGTGACACTTTTCATACTGAAAAATCAAACCATACATTGCTCAGAGACATTATAGGTGACAAAGCAAGATGGATAGTCTTCCAGATACATTGATTTTGTTCTTTCCCTTTTCTTGTAGGGTTTTTCAGGGAATGTAAATGCAGACAGTGTAGTATACTATCGGCTCCAGCCTTCTATCAAAGCCAGATTTCTACGCTTCATCCCCCTAGAATGGAACCCCAAGGGCAGAATTGGAATGCGAATCGAGGTGTTTGGATGTGCATACCGTAAGTGTTTGTTTCTCCAGCACACTGAAATGGATATCAAAGGAGATTTTTAAAAGCCAAAATGCAAATTGAAACTGACTTTTTAGATATATAAAGACATATAAAGATAGGAATGACACTTGTGGAAGATTTTTTGTGCCTATATATGTCAATATTTACTTTATTGTTCAACTTTAACATTTTAATTCAGAAATGAAAGCATTTTGTAGATACACAGGTAGATGATACAGGGATTGATACATGTTTGTAGATTCTATCCAAGTACATATTTTTTCAAATCTAGTATTATTGATTAGATCCTAATCTTCAAATGTAAGAACTCTCTCTCAGGGGTTATATTTATAGATGTTTCATGTAGACACTCTGAATTTAGTAAAAGAAATAGTGGTCCATTTAGTATAACCAGTCAACTGTTATGAAACCAAAGAATGTTTTTCTCTCTAGCCTAAAAATAATATGTCATGCAATTCATTTTTAAGTATGCTATGCCCTCAGCATAAATTAATAGAAAAAGTAAAGACTACTGCCAGAATATAAAATGTGTTTGAAATATTTTCACATAAAAAGGGTGGAAACCACAAGTTTCACTTAGTCTCCTCTTAATGAGGCATTTTATTATATCTTTTTGTGTGGAAGGGATCTAAGAGTTATTGATAGTCCACCTCAAGCCACACCATCCTGTCAGATGCTCTTTTATTATATAACAATGTGTTAGTTAATATGATCTACAATTATCAGATAAACATTCTGAGGTTTGGAGAGATTCAGTAATTTGCCCAACACCTTACAACTAGTACACAGAAGAATACGGGAAAGAATTTGAGACTTTTCAATTTTTACCACTTCATTTCCCCTAGTAAACATTTATTTTTTAGCCATTCCAAAGCTTTTTTCACACATATTCTATCACTTTGTGATGTAATCCCAAATAGATTCTGGTTTACTTTGTTTACATAAAAGGCAAACATGTTGCAAAGAAGTCAAGTGACAAAGTTGCTTAAACTCTGTCAGACAGAGACCATATTGTACAGATCACCAGGTCCCTGGATAGTAAGTGATGTTTCTGGTACCCAAGTCTTCCATCAAACAAGCATCAAACTCCTTATGTTCCCTCCAGGGACTTCAGAATAATAAGAATGATAATAATAATAATGATAGAATTAGAAATAGTAATATAAAGAGCATTAATTTTCATAATTCTATACACAGAAAATGTTGCCTGAGTGCTTATCATATGTCCATGAGTGTTTATTATATACGCTATACTACACAGTTTATAATTTCTCAATAGAACCCAAATAAATATTACCAGATAACTATAGTACTCCACTTCCCCACTTTGCAAATGAGATAGCTAAACTTAGAATGGTTGACTTGCTCAAACTACATAGATGGGAAGTGGCAGAGCTGGGTTTGCAGCCAGGCCCAGGACTCAAGCTCCTGCCCTCTCCAGCTGTTGGATTGCAGAGCTGTTGTATGCCAATGGGCAGCCTACTTCTCACCATCTGCCCAAATGAACTGCTAGCTTTCTTGGCTTCAACAATGCAGCTTAGCTCCTCCAGTTAAGTGTTAGCTCCTCACTTCACAATTATCACATTTGCAAAAACAATCTTTAAAAAAGTCCCACACTAACTAAGATTCTGGGACCTAGAATTCAGACAGTCAATCTTATTTGCCTTTGGATCACAGAATCTAACAAAGCTCAAGGCACCCAATGGACAATTAGCAAAACAAATTTCAAATGTTTCATATTTCTAGCACGTTCTCTACCTCTGCTTATTTTCAGCATGCACCTTGGAAAATATTTTTTTAGTACAGCATAATAAGAGTTAACCTTTATTGTGTGCAAATTTTGTGTTATGTGTGGTGTTTTAGAGGTATATTCTAATTTAATCATTAAAACTACTTGTTTAACAAGAGGAAAATGAATCATAGAGAAATTAAGCAATTTGCAAAATTTCATGTACTTAAATACACATTCAATCTTGGCTGTAAATTCAGTGCTGTTTTCTGAACACTGCTCATGATATCCATACATTAGAAACTCTGAAAGTACAGGTTCATTGTGTTCTCTGTTGCTATGTAACTCCGGATAACTCCATTCTCCCCTCATTTTTTGGGATTTTCAATTCTGTGGAACATTCTTTTTGCTATCTTTGGAGTGAGCACACTGCTCACATATTTAATGAATGTCCTTTTCTCATTGGCTCAGAGTTGAGTGCCAATGTGATTTTAAACTCAAACTTGAGCACATGTAAATGACAACAGGAATCAATGTAAAATGATGGTTGTGTAATTTTAAATTATTATTAAAGGAGAAAAAAGTAATATACTTAGTGAAAAAGATATACTCATAAATAATCAGAAATGAATCAAGGAATGGGTTGGATATAATTACCTCATAGGAAAGTATTTGAGCAAATAGACTTTAATTTCTTGTATATGCCATCATCATACTCATTCTCCACCAACTCAGCACTAGCCTTGAAAAAATATTAATTTAGTGAATAAGTTACCATATAGCTATCATTTATTGAATAGTTATTATTTGTCAGAGACCATTCTGATTTAGTCCCAACAACCCAGTGAAGTAGGTGTATGAATACCACCATTTCAGGCAGGAGTAAGAGGAGATAAGCAGAACTGCATACTGAATGAGCCATAGAACTTGCTGTGGGTTGCCTGGCACAGGAATAGCTAGCTGGTGGCATGGCTTTCTTCCCTTCAGAAGAAAGAGCTCAGGTGCTATCAGCACAAGCATTCAGCTGCAAAATTTTGGCTGCAAATCCTCATGAGTAGCACACAACCAAGATCAGGTTGGATTTTCTCCAGTCACATTAAGCCATTCTCCTGTAGTCCTTGCAAAAAAAAAAAAAAAGTGGTGTTAGCGATGGGCAGGGTCTCTGTCCTGGATCACAGCCAGAGAACTCCTATCCATCCCCAATTAAATAGGCCTTCCCTGGACTTGAGGAAGCCTTGGGGAATTGCATGTGGCTCCCTAGCCTTTTCTGGCAGTGCCTTCCCACTTGCGTCAAGTCAATGTGATTTGTGGGTAGCCCTTTATCTGAGCCATTCACTCAGATCTGTCCACATCTCCTGACATTGAAGGGAGTGATCCTTAGAGAAATTAGGAACTTTACCTAGGATCACATGATCTGTTTTAAACCCAGGCTTTAAAATGAGTTGCATCATTTCTCAAAGCCAGTGCTCTTGAAAACTACATGAATCATGCATGAGTTCACCATTTAAGCACGTATATTATTGACAATTGCTAACTGTTGACACTTGCATCTGTTGAAATAAGAAGACACATAAATAAGTCTCAAAACAAGACTTCCAGATCACCTAAGGGAACCCCAAAGGGCAACAAGATGGAACAATCTGTTACTCAATTACCTGGACTCCCTGAACTGGCAAAGAAAGGGGGCCTGGAAAAAATGAAATCAGAAATAAATTCTCACATAACAGCAGAGATTGTGCCCATAGTACAAGACATGGGTAATAAATCTAGAGTGGACACAGATAAAAAAATAGAGGAGCTGAGGAATGTGATGGAATCCCAACATAGGAAACAAATGGAGTCCATAAAACAGATGCAAACAGATTTCCAGGAGATTAAAAACTCCATTGAAAGTTTTTGCAGAAGAATGAGCCAATGCAAGGATAGTATTTCACATATAGAAGGTAGGATTGAAATTAGTGACCAGGAAAATAAAAATTACTTCAAAATTGTAAGGGATCATGAGAAATCAATCCAGCAGCTGCTAGATGATGCAAAGAAGAATAACATCAGAGTAATTAGAGTCAATGAAGAAACAGGAGAGAGTGCAGATGACATTAAAAAAAGAAAAACTGTTCACAGAAGTAATGGCAGAAGACTTCCCAAGCAGGGCAAAAAAACTTGACATACAGATATGTGAGGGATATAGGACTCCAACTAGCCATGATAAAAAAAAAAAATCTACACATAGGCATATAATAGTTAAGATTCCAGAAACCCAACCAAAGAAACTGGAGATCTATGAACAGTTAGAGAAAGGAAACAAATCACATACAACAGAAAGCCCATCAGAATCACAGCAGACTTCCCAACACAAACCCACAAGGCAAGAAGAGCCTGGACTGATGTATTTCAAGCCCTAAAGGAAAACAACCTCCAACAGAGATTGATGTACCCTGCAAAACTATCTTTCAAAGTTGATGGAGTAATAAGATACTTTCATGACAAAGAGCACCTGAGCAACTTCATGAATACCAAACCAGGACTCCAAAAAATTTTAAACAATAAATATCCTAGGAAAAGACAATGAGGATCAAAAACCCAGGAAGCTCTGCAGAATGAATCCATCAGGCATGACAAGAAATTAAATGCAAAGGGGGAGAAT